CCATTCCAAACCCGCCTGGACGCCGTCCTGTGCCACTGCTGGAGGTGCCCCTGCTCTGGCGGGGGGGGGACTAGATGATCTCCAGAGGTCCCTTCCAACCCTGACCAGTCTGGGATTCTGTACCTGGAGAAGGTCCTTTACGAAGTGCTAAGGAACGCGGCCGGTCAGGGATCGGCGATGCCTGCTGGAGGGTGGCCCAGGGGCCAGGCCTAATCCTAAAGGCTGTGCAGAAGGTGCAGGATGCGGCCTGCCAGGGTTGTCACATCTCTGAGGCCGAGGATCTGGCTGGAGGAGAGGCGGGTGGGTGATGGGAATGGAGCTGGAGCTGGCAGTGGGAGAGGGGGGAGGCTTCTTCCCACTTCGGTCAGGGATCGGCGATGCCTGCTGGAGGGTGGCCCAGGGGCCAGGCCTAATCCTAAAGGCTGTGCAGAAGGTGCAGGATGCGGCCTGCCAGGGTTGTCACATCTCTGAGGCCGAGGATCTGGCTGGAGGAGAGGCGGGTGGGTGATGGGAATGGAGCTGGAGCTGGCAGTGGGAGAGGGGGGAGGCTTCTTCCCACTTTCATAGACTCATAGAATTGTCTGGGTTGGAAGAGACCCTGGGGATCACCAAGTCCAACCATCCGCCCTCCTCTACAAAGTTCTCCCCTACACCATATCCCCCAACACCGCATCGAAACGGCTCTTCAACACCTCCAGGGATGGGGACTCCACCCCCTCCCCGGGCAGCCTATTCCAGTGCCCGACCGCTCTTTCCGTGAAAAATTCTTTCCTAACAGTCAGTCTAAATCTCCCCTGTTGGAGCTTGAAGCCGTTCCCTCTCGTTCTGTCGTTAATTACCCGTGAGAAGAGACCAGCACCGACCTCTCCCCCGTGTCCTTTCCAATAGCTGTAGAGAGCGATGAGGTCTCCCCTCAGCCCGCTGTGAAAACAGGGGAGAGGGAATACGATCTGCTACACCTCTTTTTTTTGCTGCTGCACAGAGCCCTTAAGGGTCACAGCCGGAGTGTGGCACGTGGGAGAGCAGAGCCTAACACATTTGAAAACCGCCTGCGTCAGAACTCGGGTGTCCGTGCACCTCTATAATTACATTTTTCAAGCCAAATTTGCTCCTTCCTCTTCAACGTCGAGGTGGGATGAAAGCAAACGCGTTGTCCAGAGGCGTGAGGTGCAAACTGTTTTCAAGCCCCGATTTTGACATCTTTTATTTATTTGTAAGGACAGTACCTAAAGATCTTTCGTACGTGGTATCAGCCTGCTGGACCTTATGTTACGCTCACTTATCTGCAGCACACCTCACAGAATCACAGAATGGTCAGGGTTGGAAGGGACCTCTGGAGATCATCCAGTCCAACCCGTCACCTACAGCACATTGCACAGGACAGCGTCCAGGCGGGTTTGGGATGTCTCCAGAGTGGGAGACTCCACCACCTCTCTGGGCAGCCTGTGCCAGTGCTCCACTACCCTCAAAGTAAAGAAGTTCCTCCTCATGTTAAGA